TTGTATATTGTTATTATTTCTATATATTTGTACTTATATTGGAGGTTTTATGTTTGCTTCTGAACTGTACACATGTTGTTTAAATTTGATATATAATATGGCTACAGCCATATTTGGATTTGATATCGTTGCAGTTAATACTAGCATCACCTATTCTTTTGAACTGGATACCCATCAGGGTAATTGGGACTTGGAAGGTGTATTAAAAGCCACTTTCTCCTAGAATTATTGTGTTTTGATATTGGACTTAGGGAGGGTGCGTTCGACCTACACCTACTGGAAACAAATTGAACTGCTACGGTAGAAAATTCATCTACACTCCAAGATCCTTAAGGTGTAAATTTATTGAAAATGCTATTTATGATGTGATAAAATACATTCATTAGTTCATCGTTATGATGGGCGGTAAAGTATTTAGTCGAGTCAGTGCATCTCAGGCGATTTCGGAAAATCAACCAATCGATCTCACGAAAGTCTCTATGAAGTGCAGTGCATTTAAGTTTTACAGCGGTAGCATCTATATCAAGGCTTCATATGATCATATTATGATCGCCAACTGAAAATTATTTTCCAACAAACACCTCGATGAATTGAAAGAAACCAGAGTAGCTCAGAGATGCAATTGTCAGTTCAAATGCCACAGTGGTAGATTGTCTAGAAGTATTGGCAGTAACGCAAAACATTGGGCATCGAAGATTAGATCCAAGAAGTATATCTCAGTGAAATAAGTTCAACGGAAGAAAATCAACGTCATGGGTAAATGAAAAGACTAGAATTTGAGAGAAGACAAAGAGTGGATTCACTTGAACCATTTCAAGCGGTTTTCAGCCATATCACTTAAAGTCTCTAATCATCTGTTTCTCTGAACTCGCAAACCCGAACCAGGAAGTTCGGGTTGATCTCGGCAAATCAACAAAAGAACCTTTATTGCACCTACATTATTTGTATTCTACCATTGAAAATGTGGCTGCTTTTACTGTTTCTCTCAGTAACATGGTGTACATATGCTATCAGAAACTGACTCTTATACTTAATTTAACTGCTATAACATAATAGTAATTGTGAAAAAATTTGTGACCATTTGATCCAGCCTGTAAAATGGTGTGACTATTAAATCAGAAGTCTGTTTCGCTCAAATCGCGAACCCGAACCAGGAAATTTACACTAAGCAACATGTGACAGTTTTGTTGTCAGTGACTTGATGAATTTGTGCCACGTTTTGGTTTGACCGTGTCCAGCTTTCTTCCAGCCCACTCCTACAGCACAACACATCGCACGTTCAAACATATGTGCTGACCACCTGAACTGATGAAGATTGTCGTTCGGTTAAGCTGCTTCCTGGAACGCTTTTGCTTGCCTTCTCAATGGATATCATTTCATTCATGGGTCTTATTCGGACTGGCGATCATTGAGAAACACTTTGTTTCAAACACTTACATTGCTTTCCTTATCTGCACATAGTAAATTAAACGTTCATATATGGCACATCGATAGCGACATAAGTTTCATTTGCTTCAATTTTGTGATACAGCTGTGTAGTTGATGAGGGCATGCAAACTAGTTTGTTTGAGCGATTTGCAGACACAACGTTACTATTTATGTACTTCAGAGCTTAGATTTCCATTTTAATTGATAAGTCAATAACGCAGGCGTTAATCATTGGACCTCTCGATACTCTATACGTAAATGCATATTTTGAATTGAACATATGCACCACATCAGATTATCCAAACAAACCGCATTTGGTTGAATTTCGCACAAGCGAAAATATACGTCACTGGGATATGATGTGCCGAAAATAGTGATTCCTTATACACCAGTAGAGTTCAGTAATTTAACTTCAACAGTGTTAAATTTGTGAATTCCTTTTTCGGAAACTGATAAAACGGTGGTTTTGTAAATGTCTTTGCTCCTGTGAAATAACATGAAACTACTCTGGGTGATGATGGAGATGATACTGCCACTGGATTGGATAGTCTAGCGGTACAGTAAATAGAGGCTTGAACACATTAAACTAGATGCTTGATTCTCGACTAAAATAGAAAACCATAGAGAGTGATAATCAACGTTCTTTCGCACATAACATAACCAGTCTGGAGTAGAAATCAGTACGATGAAAGAGAATGACATATTTAATAGTCAATAGGCTAGGTGTTTATTTGTCCACTTCAGACGACTAATCTCAATTGATTTGAACTATCATTGTTATCATCATCGTCAGGAATTAGTATCAATTTAATCAATAATTTGTGCACATGACCTTCTTTACAATAAACCAGGTTTCTAGTCTTTCATGGCGATTCATCAGTTAAATCATCTAGCTACTAGTTTTGAACGAGTGAGTTAGATCTTATTAATTGTTTTTTAGTCCTATGTAATCAGATTTCTGTGATATATATTATCCAGATTTAGCAATCGGTAAACTGTTGCTTATAGTGACGAATCTGAGAGGTACTAGTGGAACCGGAAGTAAGATTCGTGCAACTCTGTACTGACGTAAGTATCTGTCAAATGGGAGAAACAGCGATTGATATAACTTACGTGTTATAGTAGAGATATGCTTGAAACTATTACAAGCTAACGGTACTCGGTAAACAGGCCGAAGATCACCGATACAGCAACAGGATAGGCTTGTCGCAGGCCCTGCTGCTGCCTTTTTTTCCTTCTCTTTTCTCTCCCTTTTCAGAACCCCATTCACGGTGGGAAATCCTGGGCGCATCTAAGGAACATGCACCCTATGAACATGACTGTCTGGATCAAAGCTCGTATCAAGCGCGTTCCATTTGACCTATACCAGCAAATTCACTAAAGATCTCAGCAAACCGCCCTGAAAACTTACTGTGCACCTTCCCTATTTGTACGCTCCTATTGAAAATGTGGCTGTATCATACTGTCTCTGTTAGTGACATGTTGTAATGTGCTATCAGAAACTGACTCTTATACGTAACTCAACTGTGATTACTTTTACTGCAAATGTGAAAGCGTTTGTGACAATTTGATCTAGCCTGTGAACTAGCATGACTCTTTTAACGTACTGTAATTTGAGAATAAATATTATTATTATTATTATTATTATTATTATTATTATTATTATTATTACCAGATCAAGACGTCTCGTTAGAGCGTAGAGAATGTATTCTGCAAGCAGCCAGAAAATACGAGATTAACAAGCACACAAATCAAGCTTAATAATACAACGATGAGACGCCTTTGTTGGAGCCACAAATTGGTTTACTAAATTATCCATCAACCAATGCACAGTCAGGGATTTGAAGAGCGCAAATTTTAAGCTGAGTGTCAACTAAGCGTCGTGTGCACGAAATCATATATCGTTAAATATTTCTAAAGTAAATTACAAAATGAGGACGTTTTTCAAGTGAGTAACAGGGTAAAATGCATAAAGAAGTAAGCTGCCTATACGCAGACTTGTCTACTCTAAACAGTGACAAATGTAAATTCTTTTTAACTGTTAATATCGATAGAGATATATCGTTCAACTCCAAATGTGGTCGCTAGTTAAGAACGTATGTGGATCCTATTTACTTGACGCTTGATACTTGAAACCAATCAGAATAAGGACGTGAATCAAGATTTCGAGATCAATTAGTTATCATCATCAAAATTTATTCGTCATCTTACAGAAATCAATGCGTCATCACTCACTTCCCTAATGCGTTTATACTCGATTCGTAGTGATAGATATATTGAAAAGTACATTCATACAATTTATGAGTTCAATTGACTTTTATTCATGTGTTACACCTATATACATAGCTAAAGTGATTATATGCAACTGACAATGAGCGAGTCATGATACCAGATTGACTATGCTCACCACTGAATGTTCCATACGGTCGCGTCACGAATGTAAAAACAAATCCATATTCTAAGGTTTTATTGAAGTAGAATGTTGGCATTACATGGGGAATAGCAAATAGAGAAAGATGGCAGCAACGCGAAGAGAACGTTGCGCGCAAGAAGTAGTAGAAGTGTTTCTGGTACAGTTAAACAAAACGAGTACAATAATGTTTATTTTTCACAAATCATATTTTCTTCGTAGAAGCGTTCCACTACAAGTTCAATTGACTTTTATTCATGTGTTACACCTATATACATAGCTAGAGTGATTATATGCAACTGACAATGAATCGTGTAAATGGTGAAAATCTAAAAGCTACAAAAATTAGAGAACATCAAAATTTACTTGACGAAATCAATAATTACTTCGGCACAAGCTGAACACATTCATGATCACCTTGTATAACTTAATCTTTTATTAACATTTCATAAATATTGCCAACAAAATATCATGAATTCGCCACAGTGTCATTAGATTGAAACACAATTAACATTGATGCTTATAAAACATGTTGGCTGTTTGTTAACATGATCAAGTAGAAAAAAAACAAGCTGATTAATAAACTTTCAAGTCATACTTATTTATATAAAATAACAGATTAGTCAGTCAGTCATAATCTGTTACCCATAAGAAATTGGAAGTGATAACACGAGAATGCGATAATTAGATGGAATAATACTTGTCTGGTTGACTGAGATTATAATACCATTGGATTGGACATTGGAACAGGACAATTCAGAGAGAACTCACGCGGCTGAACCCGACCTTTGAAAAGTTAATTAGTCCATTCTCCTCAAGTTATTCACGCGTCATTCGACCTGGTCTAATATTTGTTCATATGTAAGTTGTTTTTATTTCGGTATGTGTGAATGCACACTTTCTTCATTTTTATACGTATAAAGACAATGATTGCTTAACAGTTCCTACACTTGACAGAATAGAAACCCATCAATTGCACACTTGGTGCAAATATTTGGATTAGTTCATTTTCGGCTAATTAGCATCATTAGATTGCTCAGGTAGGTAGTAGCATTTTATTTTATCATGAACCATTATATCGCTGTCATTAGAAACTGTTGTTTCGAATCTCTGGACTTATCTTATCGCCGAAAGGATTTTAACCGGATTTGAATCCAGTCAAATGAAGTTTGAAAGTCAAGAAATAGCTAATGCAAAGTAAGTGCGAAACATATTGGAATACTAATGAGCAAGCTGTTGTATTGATTTTGAAATACAAGAGGTGGATTTGTTCAACTTGTAAATAGTGTCCATGCAAAAAGACGGCAAGAAGAAACTCTCAAAAATAACCAGTTCTCAGTTTTAAAAGTAGTGTATTAACTTGATTAATCCTGTAGATTTTCCGGCACACTTAATATGCATACGGTAAGTAGTAGCAAGCAATGATGTGATGCATCTTGTTGCACATGGTAACACGGTGAATTACTTTTTCTCTTCAGGAGCAGAACTACTTTACTATTTTTGAATCAGTGGCTGTGGGTTAAGCACTCGCTCATCAACCATCACGTCCCAGTTCCAAACCCCACTAACCTCTCCTCAGTTTGGCCAAACAGGTTATATAATCAACTCTCACACTTAAATTATAATCCAAAGCAATGCATCTGCTGAATGATTAATTCTGATTTTTGTATAGTCCTTTTAGTATCATAGATTTGAGATTATTCAATTTCATAGCTCATATACTTTTACAACAACTTTCATCATCAACACCTGTACGAATTAAACAAAGCATTGAAGTGATTGCGGTCACTTTAAGTCATCCATACACACTGCATGGTTTGTCAAGGCCTGTGACTGGTCCACCACTTACACTCAATGTTCAATGATATGAATTAGTCACGCTTTTATGCCAAGAAACCCATTGATCTATTTTAATTATTTGTCTGAAATATTCATTCGTCCTACTGTTTCAACAGCTGCGCTATGAATCATCACTACTCAAACATTGGAATACATTGAGGATAAACATCGAGTATTTGATCGGAGAATTTGATTCTATATGATACAATATATTTGGAATCTTGAAGAACACATGGCTGAAGACATTTTCATTGATTCTTTTAACTGCACATGTTGAGTGAAATTGAAAGCTGTTCATCATTGGCCTGGATTTGATTTGGGAACTTACTAAATTGC